TGCAGAAATACTAAGCCAACAAAATGACGTCACAACGCTAATATCCAGTCCCCCAAAATGGGACAAAAATCAGGGGGAAATTTCTAATTTTAAATAGCTGTAACTTGGCAGGTTTTTATCAGAATTAAAAAATATTTTAGATTTAGGGTTTTCAAATACCGTTCTTTCACTGGACAAAAAACTGTTTTCATGTCATATGCTCTTTAAATGTTAGACTAATCAAACTTTCATATCTTTATCATTATGTTCTTTCAACGGATTAATGATATATTATTCCTCTGATGCCAGCGCAGTCTTCTCGATTTAGGGCCGTTTTTACATTCACGTGATTTTAACAAAACATTTAAAGTCCATAAAAAAGGAGCGGTCAATCAAACTAACATGGATTCATATCCCCTAAGGAATGTGCATTTCTGTAACGCCCCGATAATTTGATACTGCTCACTAGATTATAACCAGCGCACGGTCTCCTTACAAAAACACAGTTTTTACTTGACAAGGCAATTTTGGTACTGGAATTTAAGTCTAATGTAGGTGAGTTTCCCCACTGCTGTCTAAGGCAGTAAAAAGCACACGTTTAGCGCATACACAACAGCAAAGCTGTCTTTTTCGATGGAAAGCATTTATTGGTGACTGCGTCTCCTATTCTATGATTGAGTCTGCTAGTTATTTTTGTGTGAAAAATCGTCGGAACAACCGTAATTTGAATTAATACAACAAGGGAAATGCAATAAAGACCGAAATAATACTGTTCGACAAGTTTGTATAGTCACAAGCACGGCACTTTGAGATTTTTTGACTGCCTGACGTTTAGTCCCAGAACTAAACAGCAGGCAGCAATTTTTTGTATGATAAATCGTCGGAAATAACCGTAATTTCAATTGATACATCAAGGGAAATGCACTAAGTATAGGTAATAAGATGGTTTGGCCTCACGCAAATTGGCTCTTTGAAAAACAAACGAGTGCAAATTAATCCAAATTGAACGAGAAACAATCTTATTACCTATTAATAATATACATGAAAAAATTTGAGGCCAAAACTGACAAGGCTAGACAAGGAGCCAACGATAAAAACAACATGTAAGCTTAAGCAAAATATCATCAATGCAAACTAAGTCTTTTTATTTTCTTCTTGACAAACAATTATTACACTTGTCTTACTATAAAGCTAGCAAAAAAACACCAGTCCATTTTAAAGCAATTTATTTGAATTTGACCAGTAAAAACATTGTCAATTAAACAGAAAAATACCTTTTGCTGGCTAATGTGAAAAAAAGCCAGTATTTGAGCTGGTTTCACGTTGAAACTGTACTGAATTTCATCGAGCTGGACGGGTGAGGAGGGCGAGACTATTTTCGATGCAAAATCGTCTTAAAATCGTAACTAGCAAGCTTGAAACTTCACAAATACAAAATCCTAGTCCAATTCTTCAGTAAGAAAGCTTTTGTTATTTCTTTTAAGCATCTGTTGATAGTTTTTGAGTACTTTTTTCTCTGTTATCGGCGAAGTGTCCGCCATCTTGGATTCTTGAGAAAAGTTTTCAGTTACAAAGAAAGCTTGATTCTTATTGGCTGAAAACATTTCTTTTGTTTCTTAGCCAATCAAAAGTGCAAATTTGTATGTAATTGCACTGATATTACAGCTTTTTGCACTGTTCAATCTGTTGTAATTGCACTGCAGAAATGTAATTGCACTGAATTAAGAATTAATGGAGATGTTATCAGCCAATCAGAATTGAGTAATTTTTT